GCGAGCAGTGAAGTGTAAGCTTTGCTACTCCACTGGTTTCATCGTGTTCTCATTGGCAAGAATTCAAACGCTGTCCAACAATGGTATTGAATCTGACCTTCTATTATTTTACTGGTGCTGGTATGGTTATTTTGCATTTTGAAAACCAGTTAAGAACGCTTAAGATAGATCTCATTTGCCCTGTCAAACATTTTGAGTCTCCAAAGTAAATTAGCCTTGGAGCTGCTGTTGTGGTGTAAGAAGTTAAGGCAACACTTCTGATGAAACTATCTCCTATCAGAGGGCCCATTTGTGTTCCAGCTGCTCCATTTCCAATCCAGCATCCTGTTCACATGTCTTGTGAAGACAGAAAAAGATGGTACACATGCCTGGGCTGCTGTCACTCATATGGGAAACTGGGATGGAGTTCCAGGTCCTTGTAGACATTTGAGAAGTAGACTAGCAGATGGAAGGTCTCTCTCTCTCTCTCTCTCTCTCTCTCTCTCTCTCTCTCTCTCTCTGCGTCTCCCTCTCCTTCCCTGTGGCTCTTTCTTTAAAATAAATCTTTTTTAAAAATCACTAGCTTTGGGAACAAACCAATCACGAGTTGCTGTGAGAAATGGAACCTACCCAAACAGTAGCTCAAAGTTGTCTGTATTCTGAGCTGCAAGATTTGGGACAAACCTTTTTGTTTCTCTGGGCTTGCAGGCAGACCCATCAGGCAAGGTTTTTGGAGAGCAACAGTGACGTTGACTTGAGTTTTTGACTGCCCATTTTAAAGTGCTGATGTGCTCATTACTTTCTTTTAAGATAAAAGAAGGGAGTGGGCAGCTCTTCCTGCACTCATTTCCCTCTGTGCTCTATCACATCTCAGGTTCTCAGGTTGCATCGTTCCCTCCCCATATGACCTACAGCCTTCCCAGTGGCTCTGGGTTCTGCTCTTGTCTGGTTGACAATGGAATAAAAAAAAGCCAAAAGTGGATGCAGGACAAGAATATACTTGAGTTTGGATTTCTGCTATCATTGTATAACCTTAAATAACAAAGAGCTAAAGTTTTGTGAGGATTAAATGAAATTAAATTTGCAAAACATCTACAATGCATGAGAATCCAACCCATGTCAGCTGTTATTATTAGCGTTAATTGAAATCCAAATTATCATGCCTTTTCATGTGTCTTCTTTGTCCATGATAATTCCATTGGCTTGTGAGAGACACTAATTTATTTTTTTGAAGTTTTATTTATTTTGTATTTGAAAGGCTGGTTGAAAGAGAGAGAGAGACAAACAGACAGACAGACAGAATCTTTCACCTACTGGTTTACTCCCAAAATGGCCACAATGGCTTGACCTGAGCCAATTCTAGCCAGGAGCCAAGAGCTTCTTCCAAGTGTCCCATGTGGATGCAGGGGACCCAGGACCTGAGCCATTCTCTGTTGCATTTCCAGGCCATGAGCCTGGAACTGAACCTAAAGGGCAGCAGCCAGACACCTACTGGCACCCATGTGGGAGGCTTGTGTGACATGGTAGAGGGTTAGCCTACTGCAGCAGTGTGCCAGGCCTCATTTCTTTCTTGAGGCCATCTTCATCAATACTCCATCCTCTGAACATTCTTACTCTGTGCTTCCCTTTGTTGCTTTTCTGTCTTTGTTCTTGTCCCATTTTGTATACTTTGTATACTTGTTTTGTCTAAGCATCCTTACTGCTATCTTTCTACTGAATGGCCTTGGAAGAAATCAAAATCCATAAGAAGAAAATTGGGCCTTTTTATCCAAACTTACAGACAAGCAAGAGGAGAAAGCAAAGCTATCACCCACACTTCTGCTCAGCAGGATTTCTTGCAGAAGTCATTGGATGCAATTGGGAGGAGGTTTGTGCATCTTTACAAATTAACGAACTGGTGAATGAATCCAGAGTGGGAGTTTCTGGTTCAAGTTTCTAAAGACAAATTTCCGCACACAACGAACCTCTATGGCTTGTGATCTGACAAGTAACCAGAATGAACAGACAACAAAGGCAATCTAGAGAAATCACAGGGTCCTGCCGTAGACTTGAGATGTGAAATAATTATTTGCAAATTTTTCTGGGCATCACTAGCCTCTTGTCGGAAAAAAAAAAATGGGGTTATCTTGGCAGACATAAACACCACCACAGCTCCAAAGGCAGGGCTCTGAAGCCTCAGGTAGGATTTCCTGTGGCTCTCCCAAGGGGATGTCTCACTCACGGTCATGATAAGGCATGCTCATGGACATCTGTGTCCTTCAAGAATCACCCTATTTGTCTTTCACGGAGACCACCAGTTCTCTCGCCTGGGTACTGTCATTAATGAACCAAGTCTTTTCAGGGCCAGGAGCAAGGCTGCCATTTGTTAACAGTGTGGAAAGACTCATGATTTCACAACTTGAAATCAGACATGGTCACTTTGGGCCCAGAAACAGCACTGCACTTCGCCAAGCCCTCAACTCTTGCACTTCTTCCAATCCTCTCCCCCATCACACTCATACACCTCTGTCCACATCTACTCCTGTTTCTGACAGGAACCTGTCGTTTCAATTTTGGAAGGCTGCTTATCTCCATGCAAATCTATGAGATGGATACTCACCGATGTCATGACTTTGAGATTCTCCTTTCACACAATGAAGACAAAAATCTTCAACATTGAGGAGCTCGTGGGACTTTAAGACTTAGGTTTTCTATGAGCTTCAGCTCTTTGTTCATTCAATGTGTAGACATTTGGGGTAACTAACACCTAGATCTTCTACAGCCTCAGGGCTACAAGGATAGGCACCCTTTACTATCTTGGTAAAAAATGTCAGGGCTGGAATGAACAAGGCACAGATGACATTGTCCCTTCCATTGTAGAGATCAAAGTAATTTTATAATTACTTAGGAAAGAATACCATGGGGACATGACACGCATCTGGGAATGCCTATCAGAAATACTGGTCAAGGAAATAAATTCCTAGAATAAAACATCCTTGCAGATTTGTTTGAAGAATAAAAGAAATTGGGACATGAAAAGAGATTTAATTGAACAAGGGCTTTCTTTTGTTTGCGAACCCTCAAGTATTTCCACTATTTCTGAAGAAAGGGAGCTATTATTTATCAGATTAAAAGTGTCTGCTACTGAGACAAGGCTGGGGTGATGGAGAGCTGGGAAGGCACTAGAATTTCATCCAAAGAACATCTAAAGTTCACAGCCAAGTGCTTACTGAAAAGAAAGATGACATCTTCAATTCTTACAGAAATAAACGGCAATGATGAACAATTCCTTGTGATAAGCCATATTGTACTTGTGTACCAAGGTTGGGTTTGCCAATGAACCCCAAAGTTTCACTTCCTAAATTATTCACGTCTGGTCTTTTGTAAGAGTTCAAGCCTCATAACTATACACACTTACTAGAATCCTACACTCTTCCCCATTAGAGTTATTTAAATTGTGTGTGTGTGTGTGTGTGTGTGAATGAGAGATTAACGATTCATCTCTCTCACCAGAATCAAGTATCAGAACAGATTTAATCTGTTGCCTATTAGTCCCTAGCATAATGTCTAGCAAGAAGTAGATGCTGGATAAGAATGTGATAGTATTGCTGGGACTTCTGTTAGCGCATGCTCTGATCACCACTGTTCATCTCGTTAGAGCAGCACTGTGACCATTCGGGCTGGCCAATCTCGCCCTGCCAAATGAGAAGCTGAGAGTCACTGAGGACTTTAGGATACTCTGCAGGACAAATGACGAAGAACAAGCTGACCCTTAGAAGAGGAGTTCTCAACTCGTGTCTGGGACAGGAAGCCTCGTCAGTTCTTTCCACAAAACATGAGCCAGGGCAAGTATGCAGGACTGAACATGTAAATTGTCAAGTTCCAACACAAAATTGGAAAAAAAAAAAAAAAAACTGTAGCTCCCTGTTAGAAGCCTGTGGAGAGCTTAGGGGTGGGACCCTCCCAGTAATGAATTCTACCCTGATTGCACAGGTCGAGGACCTGTGACGTTGGTGCCATTCACACGTACGATGCTTTCAAGAAAATCTACAAAGGTTGACAATGTCCTGTTAGATAGTGAAGACGGGGATTTTGTATTGCTAGGAGACAGGGAGGTCTGTTTCATTTCCTTCAATACGGAAGTTGTGTCTTTAAGGGAAGCTGGACCGTACATCCAATGGGCCTGTCTCCAGACATTGTCACAAGGGAACAAGCTGGGCGCCCGGGAGCACCCCTGACTTCCTGAATATTCTACAGCAGCCAGTAGGTCCCTCTGCTCCCAGGAGTCAGCCGAAGGAACGCTGCGCCCCACAGTCCACGGAACATGAATTTCAAGGCAAAAGTGGTTAAAACCTCTGCTCCACCAGCGATGTGGCAAATTACTTAGCCTCCCTGAAACCTGTTTCCTCCTCTCAACATTACAGGGGGAGAATACCTAGCTCCACGGGGTAGCTGTGAGGACTCAGTAAGCGGGGAAAGTGTTAGCGCACAGGGAGCCCAGGAACAGTTGTCCACACGCCTGGCAAGCTCTCTCTGCTTTTGACCAGAGCCGAAGACGGAGAGCGCAGTCAAGGAACTCCGCTTGGTTCCTGCTGGCTGCCACTAAGCCCTATAAATAGTGCAGCCAACTCACCATCTCTGGGGTGAGGACTGAGCAAACAGTTGCAGGTGGTCCCTCCTGGCCGCATCACTGATGGATTCTCCATTCACGCACGCTTGGGTCTGAATTTCCTCCCACCCCAGCTTGTACAAGCATCCTTGGCACGGCGCCTGTACGCACCCAACCTCGTCGTGGACTTGCGGGTGGGCGCTGCACCCTGCCTGCTCTCGCCACTCCCGCGGTGTCCGCGTGGCCCCGCCCCGGAGCCGCCTCCCTGCCTCCCGCCTCCTCCGGCGGGCGAACCCGAGGCCCTCGGCTCGCCCGCCCGCTGCAGGGTGGGCGGCAGTCACGACAGAGAGTGTGGTCATCCGGCTAGGTGGCCGCGGGCGCGGCGAGGACCAGAGCGCCCGCGAGGTGGGCAGGGCCCGGGGCGGGGGCGAGGCCGGAGGAGGGCACGTCGGCTCTTCGGCGAGGATGGGAGTCCCCGGCACCCGCTGTTGAGCCAGAGCTCGGCGAACCGGGCGCACTGGAGGAAGGCGAGCTTGCTGTTCCTCCGGGAGCCCAACACCGTTCCCGCGTGGCCATCATGATCCCCCCGAGCGATGCCCGCGAGGACAGCGTGGACGGGCTGCCCAAGGAGCCTGCGAGCGCACAGCAGCCACCGCCGTCTCCTGCGTCCACCAGCAGCCAGGAATCCAAGGTACCTCGCACACTTGCCCCAGGAGAACCCAAACTCACTCCCCTCTTCCCATCCACCTTTACCTCCCCTGACCTGGCGTCCAGGCTCAGAAGTGTCCCTAGCCGGCCCGGGGCTCCAGGACTGTCCCTCTCTTGAGACCTGCACGTCTGGCCGGGGCTCACTGCGGGACATCCCGTTCCTGGGGCCAGGAGCCTTCTGGTTGCGCCCGCAGACCTGAGCTGAGCAAACAGGCAGTTCACATTGACTCCGGGTTCACAGATCCCTGTCTCGGGGAAAGGGAGAGATGTGGAGGGAGGGAGCTTAGGGGTTTGCGGTGACTGTTGAGAGCTTGGAACCTGCTTGTCCCCAATGCAAGTGTAGGTGGATTTTAAGTGGCTTCCGAAGGCTTGGGGATAGAGCCAGCCCAGTGACTGCCGTCCAGAGATGTTTCTGGTACTGGGCCAGCCAAGGATGTCAGAATCCCAAGGGGTCTAGAGGTCCAAGAAATCCAGTACTGAACAGGTATCACCTCAAAAAACAAAACAAAACAAAACAAAACTAAACAGGCGGACAGAAGTAGTGTCTTAGTGCCTTGGCCAGAAAGTTGTTGTTCCCCTTGTGGAAGTTGATAATATTCCCAAGAAGTCATCCTTTTAGGCGAGTTACACTAACACACCGACACAAAGCCAAACTCGCCCTTCTCTGTCACTACTCCAGTTTCTCTGGAGATGTGTGTGTGTGTGTGTGTGTGTGTGTGTGTGTGTGTGTGTGTGTGTGTGTGTGTCAGGCACATGTTTGGAAATCTTAGAAGAGGATCAAGTAAAAATGCAATGCCACATGACAGCTCAGCAGGGAGTGGAACGGAAAGTGGAGTTGGTCAGTGACAGGGAGTCTTTGCAGAGCCCAGCTGTTGACTTAAAGAGAAGGGGTTCCTTGGAACGGAGACAAATCCTGAGTGGTAGGAAAAGGCAGGTGGATGGCAGTGTGTGTAGAGGGCAAGTCGGAAGGGGCAAGACAAAACACAGCCATATGTCTTCTAATAGTAACAGGCTTGGCGGCTCTGGGAAGTGGTGTGACAGCTGGCTTGGCTCCCCGAATATCCCAGCTCCCCAAGTTAGCCCTGAAGCATAGTATTCTGACACAGAAGAGAGTATTGCATTTTAATAAACATATGTGTTCTTTTAATGACTGACCTGGGAAATGTGTGTCAAATGTCTCAAAACCCAGCGCACAGGTCCCCACCTTTCAAAACCCTGATGAAGCACAGGTGTGATGACTTCATGTTTTGTCAGTCATGTCCATCAATCCTTGTCCTTCCCAATCCAAGGAGATGGGATCCATCTCACTCCAAAGCAGTGTCTCGATCCTCATCTGTCTTCTCTTTCTGACATTCCAAAGTTTCTCAGTGTCTGACTGCCATTCTCCATCTGCACACCTCAAGTGATGGTACTTAGTGGCCATTGCAGAGGTGCCCTGTAAAAACTCAAGGGTGAGACTGGTATTAAACTGTTTGAAATGGGCAAGTTGCTCAACAGTAAGATATGTTCTGGAAAGGGTTTAGCATTTGGGTAGCAGCGGCATGGTTCAGACACACAGTGTGAGTTTGCTATTTATAGATGTCCCGATGTAAATTATTTGGCAAAGCACAAACCTCCTATGTAATGCCCATAATTATCCACCCATTTATCTGAATTATGGCTCTCAATATATACAGGTCATTTCTGTTTCTCTACATGGTCTACAACATCTGCTCTGTCATGGTTTGGTGATCTTAGTGGAGATAAGCTACAGGGGGCACCTGAGCCCCAGGAAACTGAATGCAAAATTGTGTGCCTGGCTGTGGATTTTTCTCGGTTAAACATGCAAGATATTCTTCAAGGGACCCAGGCATCTCAGACAAGGTTAACCTGTGGATGCGGAAGAAGAAGCAGGATGGCGTGAAAGGGGAGCAAAGGAAGGCTCTATTTGTTCTGTACTAAAGAGCCCATCTCTGAAAGCTTGTTGGCGTTTCCAAAGAACCATTGAGGAGTAAATCATTCCAGCTTACTCTCCTGACAAATGGCCTTGTTTATCAAAGCACTTACCTTTCCAAATAATCAAGAGAGTAAGCTCTGAATGTGTCACCACAAAAAATATCCAGGAAGTGACGTTGATGGCTATCAGCCTAAGTTATTTAATCATTCTATGCTACACACATATCAAAACGTAACTGTAACTTAATTATGCTTTGTCAATTAAAGCATTAAGTGAAGGAGAGAGAATTCTTGGAACAGACATTGCTGGGTTCTTGCTGGGTACTAAACATTTTCAATACTTGCACTTTTTTACTTTCTTTATAAACTTTTTTGCTCTTGGTAGAAACCCTCTTGTTAGATATTTGAAAAGTTCAGATAACAACAAAGAAATAATTCAACAACTGGTAGTGTTTTGAAGTGTGTATCTATTTTCAACTCTTTTTGTGTTTACCTGGCTGAGGGGATAATAATGAGTACTTATTGAATGCTTACTGTAAGGCAGATGCAACTGTCCTGTCACTGCGGGAGAAGTTGTTAGTGTTATTTTCTGGCTTGAATAACAAAGGCTCAGAAAGGCTGGAGGGCTTATGCTAGATTGTCCTTATCTAAATGACATGAGCAGGTTAGGGACCTAAGCAGCATGGTTCTGGAACCCAAACTCTCAATCATCCCACATCTGCCTTCTAGGCTTGTGCAATTGCCTACAAATTTTGCAAGTCATTCACAATACTGTTTGTGTCTTCTGATCCTCAGAAATACTTCTAAGATTCCGAGCCCTATTACATGAGAGACGATTCATGACACACTCACCCGGCTTCTCCGTGTTTGGTTTTGCTACATTTCCCCCCCCCCCCGAAAGTGCACTTATGGAAGCAATTAAATACAATATCGCAGAATCATCTGGGAAATGGGACTAAAACACACTCCCTGTTCCAGGAGGTGCAGTAGGAAAGGAATAAAAGATCCAATGACCCTGGCATAAAAAAAAATGCTTCCGGAAGTCCATTATCTTTGCAGAGTCTTTGAAGTGCTAAATCAAGGGGCAATACAAGTGAAATCATTAGAGTCAATCTTATTGCTGGTGTCGTTAAATCGTGGACTTTTACTTTCTACAAATGTTTCGTTACAGAAAACATCATTGCACACAAAAGCAAATGGGATAAAATAACTGTGATGACAGACCAAATAGGCCAGCTTCAATAATTGTCCATTAATGAACAATACTTATTACCTCCTCCACAGAATCATTTTAAATTCCTAACATCAATTCTCGTTTCATCCCTAAATATTTCAGGTTACAGCTCTAAAAGATAAGAGCTCTTTGTATAAACATGATTGTGATTAGTATATATTCTAAATGTTTATTTTTTTAATCAAGAGGTTGCTTTAATCAAGGGTTTATATGTTTTCTGAATGTCTGTGAATGGTCTTTGGAAACATCTATAGCCAGAGGCAACATTCAAAGCTGTCCATCATCTGGGAAAAAGATTCATAACTTACATCAAATCCTTCAAGGGAAGGATTTCTCTCTCCTCCCATGCCTCATCTCGACCTCTTTGAAAATGGTCTAAGACCCCAGGGAACTTCCTAGGAAAATTCCTGAAAGCACCAGCAGTGATAAGGTTTAATGGAACTGTGTTTTTTCTTTTTCATGAAGTTGAATTGTTAAGTTTGAAAGCCATGGGTGTACCTTCCTGTCCTCTTTCCCCCATTAACTAGTACAGAAAAAGGACAAGTTTATTTTCTAAGGGCATGACTGAGAACATTGAATAGAAAGGAAAATTTCATGTTCTTCTCTCCACTTCTTCTTCTCTCTCTACTTAGAAAGCTTGTCTTTGATGAATGCCTTCCCCCATCACTTACATGGCCCAAGACCCTCTTCTGGTGATAGGGAGGGACTGTGGATTTTGAGATCTACCAGAAAAGAATTCAAATTTTTTTCTTGTCAGTCATCATCCATGAGATCATGGGCAAGTTGCCTAATGCATCCAGGTGTCAACTTCTCATCTCAACAGTGGAGATTCTGATAGCCAACTGGTGTGACATTTTGTTAACCGTAAGATTATAGAAAGTATTTATCATGCGGCAAGTGCATATAAGCATACGATGCTGCTTATTCTCTATTCCTTTTTCAAGTTGGAAGACTTACCACTAATCAATCCCACATGTCATCATTGGAATAATTCTAGTAACCATGACTGATGTCCCTATGGTAAAGTCAGTATTCCTCTGTTTAGAATTTAGAATTGAAGACCAAAGGGAAGAAGGGACAGAAATAAAGAATCCGTCCATCTATTGGTTCACTGCACGGAGCTGGGTTGGGCTCAAGTCAGAAGCCAGGAGCTTCATTAGTCTCTGATATAGACAGTGGACATTCAACTACTTGGGCCTTCTTCCTCTGCTTTCTCAGGCACATTAGCCGAGTTCTGGAACAACAACAACAACAACAAAAAAAAAAAATAGAGAAGCCTGGACTTAAACTGGCACTCCATATGAGATGCCAGCATTGCATGTGTTGGCTTGACCCTCTATGCCAAAATACTAACCCTTCCTTGGACTTTTAGCTCTGCCTACGGGAATGTTATTCCCTGGCTCTTTGTAGTGCCAAGAAAACAAGCTGTCATATTCATATGTGACAATTTTTTTAAAGATTTATTTATTGTTTATCGTAAAGTCAGATTTTTTTACAGAGAGGAGGTACAGAGAGAAAGATGTTCCATCTGCTGATTCACTCCCCAAGTAGCAACAATGGCCAGGACTGAGCCAATCCAAAGCTAGGAGTCAGGTCCTGGTCTCCCATGTGGATCCAGGGTCCCAAGGTTTTGCGTCATACTCAATTGCTTTCCCAGCCCACAAGCAGAGAGCTAGATGGGAAGTGGGACAGCCAGGACATGAATTGGCATCCATATGGATTCCCAGCACATGCAAAGCCAGGATTTAGCCACGAGGCCATCACCCTGGGCCGATAGCAGATTTCTAAAAGCAGATAAAAGCTACTAACTGATT